CGAGAGATTGAATTTAAAAATTATTATTATAGTTACGAAAATAGTTCTGTTTGGCGAAATAATGGCCAGTAAGAATTGCTATCAATTTTTACTAAATCACTTTCGGTGTAGTGAGGAAAATACACTCGGAATACTTGACATTCCCTCACGACGGGGCGGCGGCAATTAGAATAGTTTATTTTGTATTATTTTAGTTGTTAATCGAACCCCGACTCGAACCTTGGTCTTTCGAATGGCAATAAGCGAAGCTAACCAATCGGCTTTTGCAGCCGCCATGTAAATAGGATGCATATATACACGGTGTGTCCTAAAAATAACCGAACTTTATATTTAAATCATACAACATACAGCTCCATCTATTGAACTCTTTGAATTAGCAACATTAAAAAGATACATTCATCCTCTTTCAAACGCACCTAACTTCATATAAGTCGGATGACAGATGTAAAAGTGACAACCATTTCAATAAAACCAAAAGTGTGCTAATGGTTCAAAAATAAAATGGAACAAAGAGCAAATATAAAATTTTGTGTCAAACTTGAGAAAAAATTAATGATAAAAGTTTATTGTGATGATTGTATGAGTCGTACGCAAGTTTATACGTGGTTTACACGATTTAAAAATGGTCGTGAGGATTTAAATGACGATCCTAGAGCAGGACGTCCAGGAACTAGCATTCGTGCTGAACTGGTGGAAAAAGTCCGTGAAATTCTTGGTATCGATGCAAATTTTACTACGAGAATGGCTGAGGAATTGAATACGAGTAAAAAGACTATTTGGAGAATTTTAACTGAAGATTTGGGGAAAAGAATGGTTTGTGCGCGATTTGTTCCGCATGAATTAAATTGCGACCAAAAATTCGCCTCATCTATCATCATGTGACTATTTTTTATTTCCAAAACTAAAAACCAAGATGAAGGGAGCATTTTATGATGATATCCCAGCCATTCAAGCAGCCGTAACCGAGGTACTGAAGAACATTTCTATAAATGACAAAAAAAAAATCTATGCATGCGCTGGTAAATCGGTCCAAACGTTGTGTTCAGTCAAATGGAATCTATTTTGAATAGATAATAATATTCAAAGATAACATAATATATATTTTATTTTATATCCAAAAAGTTAGGTTATTTTTGGGACACACCGTGTATAATAAACTATAAATCCAAAATAAGAAGTTTGTAAGAAAGAGTTTTCAATTGGTTTATTAACCGACGATCTCCTCTCGTTCTAATGTTGAAACTTGCAACCTCGGTTTTAATGATAAAAGATCTATCCAACCGAAGGGGCTGAAAATTGAATACATTTGTAATTCTACTTGTTGTTATTATTGTTGTAACCAAAAAATACTCCCCGAATTGGTTTTCTGGGAACATTACAGGAGTGACAGCTCTTGTTCGGATTAAAAATTCCGCTCGTTCCGGTAAAAATACATGCATGCCTTACCATTGGTAAATTCTTTAGCTCCTAACCCGCAGGTGTTATTCTACACACCAATAACTCTTGCAGGAACTAACTGTGACTAGTTTTCCATTGCCCGATTTCTACTTAAAAAAATCACTTCAATTGTAGGCAACCTTTTTTTTATATACATATGTCAACGTAAATGTTTAATAATCATTTTTATTTTCTTCAAGCACCCAAATCACCGGCGACAGCTACCTCCTTGTTTTTGATAAGATCACTTCAGTGCTACGAAATAACTAACTTCAAAAAAATAAGACATAAATAGCAAAATGAAAGTTATTGAATTTTGCTTTTAACAAATAAATATCAGTTATCAGACTAGAATCTTTAGACTGAAATACAGCAAAAAAAGTATTTAGTCAAACTGCTCTGTCAGATGGGCACATGTGAAAAGTACAACCAAAATTATACTAACATGCCTATTCTCACTGTTACCGGTAAAATAAATTTTGTTACTTTTCTTTAACAAAGAAATTTAATTTGGTATTCTGGCGAACTGGTTACAATGTTTTAAAAAAATTTGGCAGCACTGCTTTTTTCGTCCATGTCAAATTATATTTGCCAGTTGATAAAGTAAAAAGAAGAATATTCACAACCGAAATGGAAGACGGTGCACAACAAAATAAATAAGTTTTATTTATTTGTTTATTAAATCATAAATATTTGAACCTAATTATGGAAAATATGCCTGGACAACAAAAAAAGCTGAATGAAAACGTTATCTTACAAATTAAAAGTGTAATTTTAGTCTCGAAGAAGTTTCTTAAAATACGGCTTTTTCCAATTTTTTCCTCATCTTCAATGAATTCCAGCCATAAAATATGCCTACCCATTTTAGTTTTTTATTTTTTCTTATATTTACAACACAAAATCAAAAAACAGATAGTTTAGTTACCTCCTATTTCGCTGGTAACAAAATTTTACAGGGTGACAGTGAACTCAGAATACAAAATAGTAACAAAATTTACTGAATGGTTAATTTTAATACCAAAGTAAATTTTGTTATCTCGACAGAATAGGCCTGTAAGTCTCGTAAACGTTCAACCAACTACTTTTAACAGTAGAATAGAGACAACGCGGTCAGCTGAACTTAGATGCGCCTAAAATGCTCCTGTCTTACGTGATTTAATCGACGAAAGAATAACTTCGCATGTGTCATCACTAGATTATCAGCATTACTGCTTCTAACGGATTCCGAAATAAAAAGTAGAAAATCTAATCGAAAAACAACAGATCAATTCAGAGAATAGAAGCCATATATAATATAAAATATACATATGTAAATATTTAACAGGCGACAATCGCTGAATTGCTTTACGGAGTAGTCGGCTTATTATTTAAATAAATCAAATCGTTTATCCAACTCAACGTTACCTACCTCCCGTCTATCCGACCGAAGGATACGTCTGAAGAATAATCGAAAAAATTCAACAGATCAGCGATCGAATACCAGAGGCAATCCATAATGGCCTGAACCCGTAACCTATCGCGGACGGTCGCAGTTACACTTGGCTTTTATGTTAAAAAGCTATAGGTTTGCTTACAAGCTGCTATAAATTACATGAAAAAAGGGGAAGGAAATTACATAATTATTTAAAGCTCTTGGTAAGTAGATTTTTATATAGAAAAACGTATCAGAGCAGTCAACGTTGGCGGAATATCTAAAAGAATGGTCCATTTCAAAGTTTATTTTACATGGACGCAATGAAATGTCCGTAAAGTGGCTAGGTAATGATGATGCTGGGATGGTAAAGTGCAGCTTGAAAAAAACAAAAAACAATTTAGTTCTAAATAAAACTCCAAGCATCTTCCTACGACTCTAGCAGTAATTGCTTTTCTACAATTTTTAGTTAATCACCAAACAATTGAATGCAGGCTCTATAAGCTGAGCAATATTTCAAAATCATCCTAAAGGAAGTGAAGTATGGAGTAAGATAAATGAAAATAGTCCCTGAAGAGGTATCTGAAGTCAGTTTTAAAGTCTGCTCAGCTTGGGCAAAAATTAGAGTCAATATCGTTTCATTGCGATGTTCCATGGAAATTTTTTTTAGTATTTATAGTTATTTATTTAATACAACATTTTTGTCTAACTAATTTTATGAAAAAACTTACTGTTTTACTAAAAAAAAGATATTTTAATAAAACTCGTCATAATCATGATGCATTAACTAGTAAAATATAAAAATAAATTATATTTAAAATTACTGGTAACCACAAGAAAACGACGGCAAAAACGCAAAAACTTAAAATTTACCAAGAAATTTTTTATCATTTATCAATAATTTTTAACACTGATAAGCATATATCAGGAATCGTAAATACGTACATATTAACTATTTGCGTACTCGCTGCGAATACCAAACATTTAGGTGCAAACATTAGTCACACTTAACAAAACATAATTTGGTTTATCTGTAGATAATGATTTACTTGCATATAGCAAGGGCTAAAAAACTATAATCAATTGAGGTATTTATTGTTTTTGGTGATTGTAATCAATGTTTGTCAATTTGTTATGCAACAAACTACATTTCGTACGAAAATATATAAAACTGTTTCTCGGAATTGAGTTGCATGTACGAACATATTTATTGTAACCTCAACTAAAAAAAGCAAGTAAGGAAGAGCTAAGATCGTTGAAACCAAACAATAAATAGCTAACTGTTTCGGTTCTTCAAAAAAGTGCGCACTAGATACTCTGTTTATGGTTCATCCATTGAGGTATATTAGGTGGTTGTCATGCTACCGAGAACTATAAAAATATATGTAAAGCAAGTCCACAACAAATTTCACTGTAAATCAAAATATTTCCATCGATTCAGTTGAAATATTTGAAAATTTTATCGTTAAAACAATTGTCGAAATAAAATTTTTTTCGTTTTTACTCGAAACAAAATGCTGCCGTTAATGTTAAATCGCTTACAGATGATGTTAAAATGTTAACAGATAATGTTAAACGTTAAAATTGGGATGTGCTGTTAATTTTAAAGCTTGTGGGTGAACGTTAACGATGAGTATGTGCGGTTACAAACATTAACAGTTTCATTAACACAAACAGTTTCGATAACATAAATATTTGTATATATATAAAGGGTGACTTTTTAAGAGGTGTAAGAAAATTTTCAAAAAAAAAAACACATAAAATTGAGAAAAATGCATGAAGCTTTATTTGAATCGATAGTACGGTCCATATAATTTAATGTTTAAAGATTATTTCATGCAAATGTTGACCGTGATTCGTTTATAAGACGATTCATGGTTAAATTATAGACCAAACTAAAAATGTTTGACAGTGATACAAAAAACAAAACGTACGTCAGCTGTTTAAAACAGTGTTGCCACCAAAAAAATAATAGCTAAAAACAGCTTAGTTCGAAAAATTATTCAAAGATATTCCTTAATACAAAACACCTTGCACCAAAAAACTTAAAGTTACAATAAAATATTAAATTTCTATCACAATTCTTTTCAACAACTGTAATAGTATTTTGTTGTCGAAATTACTTTTCTTTAATTCTGAAGAAATAACTTACCCTTCGACCAAATAACTTATTCAAGCATTTGTCCATCTTCGATACTACATACAAACGGCTGTGTATATAAATATTATGTTTTCCAAACAGTATACTTTAAGGATATTCGATCCAATTACGATTACATTTAGGGATTAACTTTAATCTTAGAGAAAATGCCGTGCAAAAAAAGAAATGGCAAATCCACGAGCACAATCAGTTGTAGACTGTATATATTTGTACTTTGAAAAATTGGGCCTTTCACGGTTTTCCCTTATCAATCACACTAAAATATTCTATAAACATACATATAAATATAAATATGACAGAAACGAGCCAAATAACTTAATACTCAGCCTTATTAAACCGTTCGTGTGTTTTTAACACCGTGTACACCTCTTTATCGCGACATTATAAATAAGCGCTCTAATCTCTGATAAAAACCAGCCAAAATAACAAAAGGCCAACAAAAAAAAAACACTTGCGGAACGCGCTACATGTAGTTTAAATTCTGAATAAATTTTTAATATTTTATTGCATTTGTAAAATTTAGAATCAAAGCAAAACATTTATGTTATCCCAAAAATGCTGAAACACCGTAATTTTACCACATAGAAATTCATCAGTCATAAACACTGTACAGTAACTTGTCAAAAAGATAAAGTTCACATTAACTTTTTATCACTGATATATGGATTGTATCAATGCGAAAGTGACCAAATACAAACGCGACCGAATTGAAAAATATTATATACGAGCGTTTCTTCACTAAACTGTGTTGAACAGAACTCCATGGCATGCCGTTGGTTACACGATGATTAGTCCGACGGTTCTCTGTCAGCGAATTATTTCTGAAACAAGCAAACTATACTCAACGATATCAACTGACAATTATCTTATCAGAAAGATAATGATAGTAAGTGCTTCATGAAATCGTTATTTTTTTGCGATTTCATGTCAAAAAGGAAAAAATGAATCACTTTGCAATAATTTTGTATTATGTCAAAGTACATTTGAACTTAAAGGTATTTCTAAAATCAGGGTCTCCGGCTATGACTAATCACATATTTCTTATATGTACATTTATAGCACAAAATTTACGACTTGTTCAGAGTTTTTTAGTTAGTATCAAATCCGATTTGTCCTTTCACTTTTTCAACTTTGAAGCGAAGTCAGGTAGCATACAGTTGTATTTTGACGATTTATTACTTATTTGCTCTATTTTTATTTACCCTTAATGCTATTATAAGTCCACTTTGGATGTATGGTATTTACCTATGGGGTATGACCTATGCAACTAATATTAAGAAGGTATTGAGGTTTCAGTACAAAATCCTGAGAGTAATAACAGGTGCACCCTAGTTCGTAACGTAAATATACGTAAAGACCTTGGTATCCTACTGGTTGAGCCTGAAGTTGAAAGAAGCAGAACGAAGTACCTCAAAAAACTAAAAAATCATCCCAACCCATTAGCTAAAGCTTTTGGGCAATTTATCCAGACTACTAAGGTTAGCGCCATAGTTTAGAAAAGGCTCTGAGAAAACTCGCATCACTTAATGTATTCAAGCCCATTCAAATTGAAGCTAATGTCTACCAAAAATTTACAACATTCCACTTTTGTTGAAACACTTTCTCTTCAGCTTATTCAAAACTCCTGGATTACAATAGATAAATTTTAGGTAACAGGAGGTACTAAATTTATTTCGGCACTCTTCTTTCACTGTGCTCAAAAACTGATAATTCTCTTACCACAGTTCAAAGAAAATAACGAGTTTGCAGTCTTATATTTTAAAGACAATAAAGAACGAGTCATTGGTGTTCTAATTATGAAAAACTTTCAGTTTTATGTTCATAGATCACAGGGCGAAACTATTGGGTTGCCCAAAAAGTAATTGCGGATTTTTCATATAGTCGGCGTTGACAAATTTTTTCAACGGCTTGTAACTCTTTCTTCTGTCAGTTATCAGCTGTTACTTTTAGCTTGCTTTAGAAAAAAAGTGCGCGAAATTTTGTTTACATTTGTTTGTTTGGCGTCACTTTTAATATGGAGCCCACAAAGGAGCATTTTCGTCATATTTTACTTTATTATTTCCGTAAAGGAAAAAACGCGGAGCAGGTTGCTAAAAAGTTACGAGATGTGTATGGTGATGAAGCCTTAAAAGGAAGACAGTGTCAAAATTGGTTTCGCAAATTCCGTTCTGGAGATTTTTCACTTAAAGATGAGCCACGTTCAGGTCGGCCAAATGAAGTTGATGATGACCAAATCAAAGCATTAATCGAATTGGATCGTCATGTAACTGAGCGTGAGATAGGAGAGAAGTTAAATATACCAAAATCAACCGTTCATTATCACATAAAAAGTCTTGGACTGGTGAAAAAGCTTGATATTTGGGTACCACATGTATTGAAAGAAATTCATTTAACACACCGAATCAACGCTTGTGATATGCACCTTAAACGCAATGAATTCGATCCGTTTTTAAAACGAATCATAACTGGAGATGAAAAATGGATTGTTTACAACAACGTTAGTCGAAAACGATCATGGTCCAAGCATGGTGAACCAGCTCAAACCACTTCAAAGGCTGATATCCACCAAAAGAAGGTTATGCTGTCTGTTTGGTGGGATTGGAAGGGTGTCGTATATTTTGAGCTGCTTCCAAGGAACCAAACGATTAATTCGGATGTTTACTGTCAACAATTGGACAAATTGAATACAGCCATCAAGGAGAAGCGACCAGAATTGGTCAATCGTAAAGGTGTCATATTCCACCAGGACAACGCTAGACCGCACACATCTTTGGTCACTCGCCAAAAACTGAGTGAGCTTGGCTGGGAACTTTTGATGCATCCACCATATAGCCCTGACCTTGCACCATCAGACTACCATTTATTTCGATCTTTGCAGAACTCCTTAAATGGTAAAACTTTCGGCAATGATGAGGCTATAAAATCGCACTTGGTTCAGTTTTTTGCAGATAAAGGCCAGAAGTTCTATGAGCGTGGAATACTAAATTTGCCAGGAAGATGGCAAAAGGTTATCGAACAAAATGGCAATTATATATTTGATTAAAGTTCATTCTAAGTTTTATTAAAAATGCATTTACTTTCTTTTAAAAAATCCGCAATTACTTTTTGGGCAACCCAATATTTCCCTTACCGCATCATCCACAGATTTTCATCCAAAAAATTTGGTTTTATTATATTTTACTTCACATGCCACAAATGCCCTTAATTTATTGATTATAAAATGATTCAGAAGTTAAATTTACTTATTCAATTTTATTCTTAAGGTGACCACAATTTCGTCATATACATTTTCTGGAAGCATATTTTCCCCCTTTTCCTCTTTAAGTTGACATATACAATTGATAGCTCAAAAATTTATGTGCAAAGTTTGGAAAATATGTTCTATTAAATCTGTATTTACCAAATTATTAAAGAAGTGCTGAAACTGTCGGGAACTCTGTCACATGTCCACAGAAATTCATACTTAAACCGTAGAAAATCGCTTTAACGGTTATAATAATAAATCCAGATCTATATACGAGTACATATATAAAAAACGTTGTTCCAAATTACTGACGGAACAACCCACAGCCTAAAGCATTGATCGTAGAGACCTGAAACTTGGCGTATGTCTTCTGCATGAAATTTGGTAAACTCGTTGACTTGATCTCGTCTAATAAATATGTGGAACATACGTATTTAGGTGGCTCTTTGCCAAGGTCAATATGTGGAGATCTGTTCAGAAAAATATTTATAATACGATAGATTTGCTTGATAATTAGAACATACAACGGGATTAAAAAAAACTCGGTCTTTAGATGACTATCAATTTGTTTTTGTTAAATCTAAAAATAGGCAAAGGCTCTGTGCTTCATTAGTCTTGCTTACAAATTTTAGAACGATCAGCTTAAATGGAAATGAGCCTGGACATTTTTCCATAGAGGACGATCCCCAAGAATATCGAACAAAATCTCCCATTGATGGCGTCACTGTAAATCAGGTGAATCACCTGGGTACACGAAGAAATCTGCTCAACGGTAGTAGGCTTCAAATTTTCATTTTACGCTGGAAAAAATTCCGTTATCAATAGTTTTTTCATTGCAACTGCTCATTTTAATGTTATTAGGATACTAAATATTAGGATATTATTTGCGCTCGAAAATTAGCGGACAGCATATTAATTTGACAATGGGTAAGAAAACTTTACCTGATATAGGGAAATCAGTGGTAAATTTTAAAAAGGAAGGAAAATCTTTACGTGAAATTGCTTCAATAATTGGAAGAAAACATAATGCAGTAAAAAAAATTCATTGATAAGCAAAAAAAGTTTGGCTCAATAGAAGATCGATCACGTTCCGGTAGACCAAAACGGCTTAATAATACTGAAATACGGTTAGTTGTGAGAGCTGCGAAGATAGATTCTACTGTGAGTGCCGTCAAATTGTCAGAAGAAATGTCCAGAACATCCGGAGTGAATGTTATTGCCAGCACGATCAGGCGAGCATTGCATTCTAATGGTCTGTATGGTCAGGTACCGAGAAAAATACCTCACATTTCTACGCAGAACCAAAAGCGGCGATTGGATTTCGCTTAAAAATGTAAAACTAAGCAAGTTCGAACTTTTCGGGAAGAAAAGAAATTCTAAAGTTTGGCGAAAAAAAAATCAAGAGTTTGGACAGAAAAACATTACATCCACTGTAAAGCATGGTGGGTGGTCTGTGATGGTTTGGTGGTGCATTGGGCTAAGTGGAGTAGGACGGATGGTGTTTATTGATAGCACAATGAAATTAGTTTGATTACCTAAACAATTCAAAAAGTAGTGTCCAACTTAGTGGAATCAATTCCAAGGAGACAAATTATTAGCTTATGAATTTCTTAATTATTTCCAAACTGTACACTTTGTTCTTGTGAAGTCATTTTGGATTCTTGTTAATTTCTTGTAAAAGCAAAATTTAGTGATTTATAAATGATAATTGATTTAAAAAATGTGTTCTTTTTTGCATTGAAATAAAGAGTGAAATGTGTGAGAAAAAGGAGTATACTTTCTTTTGGCGTTGACTGTTCGATACAGAGACCAAGCAACAGTCCATGATATGAAGCCCAATAGGAGCAATCTCACCCGTAAAATCTAAGCAACAAAAATCAGCAGCAAAAGTAATGACGTCAGTTTACTTCACCCGATCTAAAATCGTAGCTGCTATTTCACTGGAAAAGGGTCAGAGGGTAACTGCAAAATGGTTCACTGCAAATGGTTACCAAAAGATTTCAAATATTTTTTGAGAAACAGAAAGAAAGAAGATTTGCGGCGCTACTTTTTACATCATATACTTATTTCAGCTGTAGGGGTAATCTTATTGCGATCTCTGGGATCAAAGAATACTTCCATCACCATATTTCCCAGATATTTGTGATTTCTGGTTATTTCCAAAAGATATAGGAAAAAAATATAAGGGAAGGTCTTTAACAGCCACGAGGATATAATGAATGCGATTAATGCTGAACATGATAATCTTGATTCTGAAGGCTGTTTTCAGAAGTGGATCTATTTTCTAAAAAAATTGAAAACATTGGCAATTATGTAGAGAAAATGAAAAAGGACAAAAATTGGGAATAAATACAAATATATATATTTTTTTTTAGACCAACTTACTGAACTTTTGTTAATCCCCTCGTAGATAGCTATTTGCCTTAACATATATGTGGTAAACATTTTAAAAGTTATAATAATAGAAAGAACAACCCAAAACCGTAATAAAAATGCGGACGAAGTCGAGGGCAACCTCTAGTAACATATATAGTAAACATACTCGTACACCA